TTCCGTAGCTGAGATTCTGCTTTTGACATAGTGTTGCTACAAAAGAGCTTTGATTTCACTTAAGCCTTCAAAATGCCCAACGACTGAGTTCTTTCAGCGTTCCCTGATTATAGTACTTGAACACCAGGGGAAGAAAAAAAAAAAAGATTTGAAAAGAAACCAGTTTATAAACCTGAAGTGGAAATTTAGGGAAAGCGTTCTTTTTTTTTGCAGAAATGTTTTTTTTTTTTGCAGCAATGGAGGAATAATCCCATAATAACAACAGACTTTTCCATATGCAAGTCATACAGATGCAAATGGTTAATGAAGGTATGTAATTAATCAACAAAGGTTTAATTAATTTGGATTTTTTAAAGGGTATAGGAGCGGCCTTTAAATGCCATCCGTTGTGAAAAGAGAGGTTCAAAGAGAAAGAAAAGGGAAATACAGGCAGTCCTTGACTTATGACCACAACTGAACTCCCAAATTTCTGTTGCTAAGCGAGACATTTGTGCAGTTTTTGCCCCATTTTATGACCTCCCTTGCTACAGTCGTTAAGTGAACCGCTGCAGTTGTAAAGTTAGGAACGGAGTCATTAAATGAATCTGGCTTCCCTGTTGACTTTGCTCATCGGAAAGTCGCAAAAGGGGGACCTTGCAAACCATCCTAAATACGAAGCCAGCCTCCAAAGTTTGATCACGAGACCATGGTGATGTTGCAAGGGTTGTACGGGTAAAAAATGCTACCGGTTCGGCCAAACCAGTATTTCTCTTTTTTTTTTCTGCCAACGATCAGCTGTTCCGACAATCAGCTGTGCCGGGATCCATCTCGCTGTCTTACTGCTTCACCCAGAGGGCTTCCCTGAGGCCCAGGAAGCCCAAAAAACAGCGGGCTAGGGTGGGAATGCTGCACACACAATACAAAAGAAGCCCCACCCCCCACTCACCTGGCCACTTCCACCTAGCCACGCCCACAGAACCGGTAGTAAAAATATTTGCAACCCACCCCTGGTATTCATCACTTTGGCTCTGGGAGTTGCTGGAATTCTGGGAGCGTTTGAGGGAAACTTGGAGCAATAAAGGGGCGGTTTGCACTGCCAGCTGTTTGTGTTGTCTCTGTGCCACGCCCCAGGTAGTCAGAAGTCACTTTTTTCGGTGCCGTTGTAATTTCAAGATCCAATCTGGGTCTGTCACCGGGACCAGAGGTTTGATCTTCCGAGCTTTTGGACTCGTGCTTGAGCCCCGTTCGAAAGACAAGTCGGGAGAAGATTGGATCCTGCAACCCTATTTTGTCATGCCCGTCGAGTCTGACTCTGAGGAGCAGCTGACAGGGAGTGGGAGTGTGGCTCCGTTGGCTGTGGAGGGAACTGGGAAGGGCAAAGCTCGGCTGGGCAGAGCAGGGAAGAGGCAGAACAAGGGAGAGGGGGAATTCAGAGGAAGACCCAGGCCCACCCCCTCTTCATCCTAGGGCATGCAGGGAAGAACGGAGAAGGGAGCAACATGGATAGGGGGCTTACGGGAGAGGAAAGGGCCCTGATTCCCTTCATTAGCCACAGCTGGGAATGAGGGTTTAAAAGAGATACATGCTGAGTGCGGCAGTTGTTGGGAGCAAATGTGAGTTTATCTTGTGTTGACTTTGCTTATCTGCATTCCTGGCATCCTCCCAATCATGTTATTGCTGTGTCTTCACATCTGGAATTCTTGCTCCTGCCCTGCCAGACCAATTACCTCATCTTGCCTTGATTGGACTTATAGTTACAGTTTATGTTGACCTTGTTTTGGACTTGATTCTCTGCAGCCAAAGGCTGTTCCTGGGAGACTTTTTCTCCAGTCCAGAAGGTAACCAGGACATTGGGGGCAAATTTGGAGCTAATAAAGGGACTCCTACGGATTATCTGGCTGTGTTGCCGTTGTGCCACGCCACTTTGGGTCATCACTTATTTACCCTGGGAAACATACATTCTCCTGCCTTCATTGGAACTTCAATTGGTCACTAAACAAAGGCTGTAAGTTGAGGAATACCTGGGAGGCTCAGGTGAGCAAAAGCCACGTGACTGGTTATAATTAAACCAGGTGACTGGTTATAATAACAGCATGAAAAGTCGAATTAAACTAACTCATGGCGAGTTACTCGCGAGCATCATCATTACACAGCAACATCTCATGTTTGCAATAACATGATGATGAAGAACAGAGTAATTATTGCCATGAATAATACTGTTAATTATTCCAACCCCGAAATTACAAGGAGAGTTGTGTTCATCTGCAATGGCACAAACATTGGATGGCCCCCTCTTAGCACCTTTTCCGACTCACAAATTTGATTCAAAGGTGTCCGCGGGCATCTTTGTGTAAAAGTTTGTGACTCGGATGAGAGGTGCTAACAGTTGCCTGCGAGTAATACAATAACAGAATCCATATATGGTTGCTTTTATTGTGCATCCAGCCACTCAGTGCATCGCATGAAACCAGTTGTGGCTCCCAACGGCAGATGCCTTTGAATACAATTTGTGAAAAAAAAAATTCTGTATATATATCTTTATCTCTGTATATCTCCATCTCTATATATTTATAATTCTATCTATCTATCTAACCTACTGTCCATCCATCCAATCTATTCTAATCTATCATCCATCTAATCTACCATCGACCCATCCAATCTGTTCTATCATCCATCCATCCATTCTATCATCTATCTAATCTACCATCTATCCATCCATCCATCCTATCATTTATCTAATCTATCATCTATCCATCCATCCAATCTATTCTATCATCCATCCATCTATCCTATCATCTATCTACCATCTATCCATCCATCCAATCTATTCTCTATCATCCATCCATCCATCCATCCTATCATCTATCTAATCAACCATCTATCCAGCCATCCAATCTGTTCTCTCTAATCTATCATCCATCCATCCAATCTATCTATATCTCTAATTACCATCTATCCATTCATCCAATCTGTTCTATCATTCATTCATTCATCCATATTTATCTACCATCCATATCTGTCTGTCTGTCTGTCTGTCTGTCTATCTATCTATCTATCTATCTATCTATCTATCTATCTATCTATCTATCTATCGTCCTCAACTTATAAGTGTTTAGTGACTGCTTGAAGTTACGGCACTAAAAAAAGTGACTTACCACCATTTTTCACACTTACGACCGTTGCAACATCCCCGTGGCCACGTGATCAAACTTAAGATGCTTAGCAACTGGCTCGTATTTATGACGGTTGCAGGTGTTCCCAGGGTCATGCGATCCCCTTTGGGGACCTTCTGACAAGCTGTCAGTGGGGAAGCCAGATTCATTTAACAACCATGTTACTGACCACTGTAGTGATTGACTTAAGAACGGTGGCAAGAAATGTTGTAAAATGGGGTAAAACCCACTTAAGAAATGTCTCACTTAACAACATAAATTTTGGGTTATGTTATATTAGTATAATATGGCATAGAATATTAATATATAATAAATCTAATAATAGTAATAATAATATGATTAGATGTTGAGTCTATTTCATTATCAAAGATCCCATCTGGAATATTTGTTTTATATACAGTAGTAATATGGTATTCTTGTTAAACAAGGATGGGGAAACTGACCTGTTATATAAGGGAAGGAGAATTTATCACGGTTTTTCTGTATTTTTTTATCAGCATCCAGCTGGGATGGACTCTTTTATTTTTAATGCTAGACTTAATTAATATTTGGGACTTTCTCCCCTTTTCTGTACACATTTTTTCTTTTCTTTTGTTGTTATTCATGTTTTTCTGTTTTGCATTTTATTTTACTGGATAAAAACAAAACAATACGCGTAAGATATCTCTAAAAACTGAAGGATGGGATTTTTGAGTTGGATTTGAGAAGATCCGCCCGTTTGGGGGGAATCTTCCCCGCGACTCTTTTCCCAAACTTCGGCATGCTCGAACCCCGTTCCTTGGGTTCCTCTCCAGCCTGGGTGATTCCCCTTTCGGGGAAATCTGTAACCTCCTCCTGACTCAGTTTCCTTGGTGGGTGTCCCGTGACACCAGGCACGGTGCCACTTGGCGTGGGCTGAGGCTGCCACGTTGCCTCATGTTAATCCATCGGACTTCCGGGGTTGCGGCCGACATGAAACGCTGTCAGGGAAATGCTCCACGTGTCGGGATTCGTCTGCCAAGGTGTGTCTCATTATCACGCCGTGAAAAATTGTCCTCTGGCGACGAAGCAACGAGTGAGTGGCCGGGATGTTATGTTGTTTTGATTCTCTTTCCGGCCGAGGGAACGTCCCTGCTGAGTGTCTCATCCTGCGACTCACCTGGCAAAACGGCTCCCAGGTGACCCACAGGTGCTTTTCCCAAAAGGCAACTGGGCTTTCTTGTGTTTTTTTTTTCTTTTCTTTAAAAATGTTTTGCTCCCTGGCCAAGAAGCTTCTTTGGTTTTGATCAGAATCGAAGAAGCTTCGTGGACGAGGAGCGAAATGTTTTCAAAGAAAAACAACCTAAGAAAGTCCAGTTGCCCTTTGGAAAAAGTTCTGATCAGAACTGAAGAAGCTTCTTTGATGAGGAGCGAAACATTTTCAAAGAAAAACAACCAAGAATGTCTAGTTGCTTTCTGAAAAAAGTTCTGATCAGAACTGAAGAAGCTTCTTTGATGAGGAGCGAAACATTTTCAAAGAAAAACAACCGAGAATGTCTAGTTGCTTTCTGGAAAAA